AGATGCTGGGAGCAGAACTGCCTGGGGCTTAGATACGAAAACCGTTGATAAATGATAATAGGAATGCGCCAAGAACGAAAATTCATGCCTTGTTTTTCTTTTCGTCAGTTTTTGCAGTAGCGATAGCCATATTCAGTATTTTCGTTGCATAATCGTAATAACGGCTAAAATTAGGTCCAATTGCTAGTGCAACATCGCCAAAGCACGAAAGCACTGCTGGTTTCACCAATTTTTCCACCTTATCACTCTGCAAATGATGTATGCCATAAAATACGAAATAATCAAGTTCATTGTGTCTTATTTACGTTACTCCTTCTGCATGAGCGAAATTTTGGCGAGGGTAATTATTATCTCGAGAACGACAAAAGCTAGAAAACTGAAATTCTGTGAATATGTCCCTTGCTCACATGCAACCCAGGAAATTTAAATTCAGCTTTCTCATGCGCTTGGGTAACAAGTACGGCCCCGTGAAAGTTCTGGCGGGAAAAATGACCTTGAACCACGAAAGCTAAGCTGAAATATGACGAAAACATTACCCTCTCGTGTGCATCCCCGTAAATTCCAAATCAGTTTTCAATCAAACCTGGGCCTCAATTACGCGCTCGTAAAATTTAGGCGGGAAAAATTACTATCCAGGAACCAGTAAAAGAGAGAAAGCTAAAATTCTAGCAAAATGCGAATTCGCAGAATCAAATTTAGCTTTCATATACGCTTGGATCTTTTGTGCGATCTCGCAAAAGTTCTGGTGGGGAAAATTATTATCTCGGGAATCAGAACAGCTGCGAGGATGAAATTTCAAGGGGATGTTTTCTACCTGTGCAGATACCTTACAAACTCAAATTTAGCTCCCAATTATGCCGAGGTCTTACCCAAGACCATGTGAGTGTTTTGATGCGAAAATCACTAGCTCGGAAGCCGGAAAACTGGGAGGTTGAAATTTGGAAGGATGTTCCCGTCCAAGGTTACAATTTTAGCTTTCTATTTTGTCTAGTTGCCAAATTACAAATTCCCCACGCAAAACTTCACATGTTCATACCTAAGATATAGGTGTGCGCGAAAGCTGAATTGGAAATTTCAACTCGGGTAACTAAAAAGTTAGAAGGGTGTAATTTTAAGGGGATGTTCTCTGTCCATGTAAGTC